GTGATATTTTTCCCGTGTTTTTGTATATATGTATATTTTTCTCCGTACATTCTTGTACTTGATATTTCGCTACGACGGATTAGACACTTAAGGTACTCAAGTTGAAGACTATGTCCCCACCTTCCTTTCATCTAATGCCCGTCTGGCCAGATAACATCGAAGCCTGGTTCTGTTATGCAGAGATCGACTTCTATGACCACGGCGTGAACGACAAACGTGCACAATTCCTCGCAGTAGTCAAGGCACTACCGTGCGAATTCACCAGGTACTTAACACCTAGCATGTTTATTAGTGATGTCTCTGAACCCTACGAAACATGTAAACCATCTATCCTTGAACGCGGAGATCTAACCGATCGACAAAGGTTAAACCAACTCCTCAAAAACATCGACCTGCAACACGGTTCTGCGACAGACATGATGCTAAGAATGAGAGAGGTTGTCGGCTAAAGAACTTTCGATGATGCCCTATTCAGACAACTATTCTTATCCAAACTTCCTCAAGAGGTGCAAGCTGTACTGGTCTTGCTTCAAAACAACGCCGTAGACGAGCTGGTTGCATCTGCTGACCGCATCCTAGAAATCACGAAACCTTCTAATGTCGAGGTTTTTTCAGTCAAAGAAATGCCTCAAGTGACTCCGAATAAAGTTACGGAACTATATCACAGGCCTACATGTTATATCAGATTTTGTAATGACCCTAAACGGTCACGAACCCCGCGAAGAAGCACTTCACGAGACGGATAACCCCGACTGGTGCTGATATAATAACCAGTATGGAAAGCCATCCAGAAGTCGCAGAAAACCCTGCAATTTTCCCAACTCAACATCCACCGACACGAAAAGTAATTGAAGAAACCTCCCAGCCGGCACGTGTTAATGGCAACCGTAGCCGGCAAACATAGCCTTCTGCTATACGTCACAGATGTAATCACGATAGTTCGCTATCTCGTCGATACTGGCGCAGAAGTTCGCGTTCTTGCAGCGAATTCTGTCGACCAGCTTCACGAATCGGTTTTAACCTGCAGGCGGCAAACGGAATGCCAATCGACACATAAGGTAAAAGGTACGTTTACCTTAACATGGGTTTACGCAAACACATTCACTGGATCTTTATTGTTGCAGATGATTTTATTCCAATCATTGCTATAGACCTCCTACAACACCAAAATCTATTCATCGATACGCGCAAACGGAGGCTAGTAGATGGGAACACTAATATATCTGTTTGCGCAACTTCTTTTTCCGGTTGCAGATTATCTCCTGCCACATTAAGACACACGGTAGATCCATTCTATCAACCATTACTCGATAAGTATTCTAGGATATACCAACCGCAACCAAAATTGCCGTGTGTAACCATCAATGTTAAACATCACATCACGACTACAGAACGATCGGAGTCCAACTGGTGACTATCGATGATTGGATGCAAAAATCATTCCTCATCGTTACCAGTTGCCTCACTTATATAACCAAATCCCTATGGCTACTGATGATATTCCGAAAACCTCTATCACAACTTCCTCCGGACTCGACGAAGTTTTGCGAATACCTCTTGGTCTATGAAACGCTGCCCAAACTTTTCAAAGGTTCGAGGTCTCAACTTCGTACATGCGTATGTCGATGACTGCTTGATGGAAAGTCCAGACAGATAATCTCATCTCCAACATCTGGACCTTGTTTTCAATCGACTGCAAAAGCGTGGCGTTACCATAAACATTCAGAAACGCCAAATCGGAACGGAATTTTTGTTTTCCTTAGGACACGCTATTGATGCGTAAGGCATCTGTCCTTTGAGAAGCAAAGTGGCGGCCATTCTGGATTACAAAAACCTACCATCATTAAGCAATTACGCACATTTGACGGCCTAGTAAGTTTCTATAGACGTTTCATACCAAAATGCGAGTCACTTATGAAACATCTAACTGACTAATTTCGTGGAAGTGTGAAATCCATTAGTCTGAACAATACCGCGCGTCAAGCACCCTCCACAGTTAAGGGACTTATCGCAAAGGCAATCATGCTCGCAAATCAGGACACTCAAGCACACACAAGTATCGCGGTAGACGCATCCGACTCAGCAATCGGGGGAGTCTTACAACAATGGGTTAACCAGTCTCTGAAACCTTTGGCATTTTTCTCGAGACGGTTGCTAGACACTGAGTCGAGGTACAGCACTTACGGTAGGAAACTCCTTGCTATGTATTGTGCTGTACGGCATTTTCAACACTCAAATGAAGGCCGAGATTTCACTCTTTTCACTGATCATGAACTCCATACCTTCTCTTTAGATTCATTTTTAGACAAATACTCCCCTCAAGAGCCTCGACAACTGGACTACATTTTTCAGTTTACTTCAGATATTCAGCACATTTCTGAAGCAAACAATGTAATCGCAGACGCTTTGTCTCGCATAACTTCCTTGAACAGTTTCCAAAGTATCGATCTTCTGAACTTCGCCCAGCTTCAAAAAGAAGACACTGATCTTCAGCACGATTTATCCTGAACAAAACTTAAACTGCGCATTATACAGGTGGGAGCAGGTGAGGAAACCTTACCATGTGACCCACCTATAGGTAAGGATCGCCCAATCGTTCCGAAACATTATCGATGCAACATCTTCAATACGTTGCAAAAACTTTTTCATCCAGGTGTTCGTGCAACCATCAAGCTTATAGCAGAACGAATTTCCTGGCCTAGTATGAATAAAGACATGAGTGAGTGGGCACGCTCTTGTATAAGCTGACAGAAATCTAAGGTGATTAGACACAACAAATGTCCCTTGGGCTCATTCAAAACTCCCGATGCTCGTTTCGACCATGTTCATCTGGATTTGGTAGGACCTCTACTAGATTCAAGTGGATACTTTTACCTCGTAACCTGCGCATACCGTTTCACTCAATGGCCAGAAGCAGTATCTATCAAGGACATTACTGCTGAACTAGTGGAACATGCCCTCGTCGGACGATGCGTTGCAAAACTCGCCTGTCCTTCAACCATCACTACAGATAGTGGACGCCAGTTCGAATCTGGACTTTTCTGTTATCTGGCCACACTATTAGGAATCACTCGCTTCCGAACGACTGACTACCACTCACAAGCAAACGGGTTGGTAGAACGCTTTAACTGACAACTTAAAGCTTCACTATCAGCTGCAAACGTTTCACTGTGGACCAATGCTCTTCCAACCGTCTTACTAGGTATTCACAATGCAGTGAAAGTTGACATTCGATACACTGTAGCTCAACTCGTTTATGGAACGACACTTCGACTTCCAGGAGAATTCGGGGATCCTTCATCCTCTTGAATGTGCATTGACCTAACCTCCTACACGAGCAGGCTTACAAACTCAATGAGTTCAGTGAAACCTGCTTCTACTCGACCACAGTCAACTGATGTTTTCATTCAACCTGACTTACGATATAGTACACACGTTTTCGTTCGTCGAGGCTCACATCGACGACCTCTCAAATCAGCATACGAAGGACTCTTCAAACTTCTACAACGCGAACCCAAGTACTACATAGTCAGTAAGAACGGAACTGACTACAGAGTCAGCATCGACCGCATCAGAGCAGCGTATCTAGAATGAAATCCTATCCACGTCGATATTCCTTCGGTACGATCGAACGACACGGCTCCTACACTTATAACATCTCATATGGCAGCCAACACGGACGATGATACTTCGATAGTATCTGAAAATAAACTTAAAACGACGCGTTCTGGAAGAAGAGTAAGGTTTCTGTAAAAATCGTTTTTTAATGCTATCGCATGTGCATGAGTTTTCCTTTTTTCCAATCGCTTTGTGACATTACGCACGTACTTGTGCAATTCGACATGCACTTACACATCTTTTTTTGGGACGGCTGGAAAAGACAGAACGATGAAGTTTACGATGAACTAAAATTTTCATTTTACCTTGTTCTTTATTTCTATATTGTACTACATGGTACCTTATAGTAAGGAGAGAAGATCAGACGCTTCTAAACATGGCAAGCTATCAGAAGAGTGTTCACCAACGATAAAATTATGGCTGACCACGTCTTCGGGTCATCACTACCCCACTAGGGAGGGAGTGGTCTGTAGCGGTAGATAAATCCCCAGAATAACTAGTTCTGTAAGTTTCCGACATTGGATGATCACCACATTAGTTTTAATGGATTCACGTAGCTGAAGGTGCTCGGTCATGCATCCGCGCCAGATCACGATTTGGAACACCGTGCTTAACATCCCCAGCAATCGCTAGTCAGATTAGATAAGTCAATTCTCGATATATTGATAGCCTATCAAATATATCTTCGAACGTCTTTGCTTCTGTCTTTTTATTTCAATTGGTGGGTACGATTCATAGTAGAAGGAGTTACCGGTTAAAGTGCTGTCAAACTCCAAATATCTGCGGCATCTTCAAAATCTTTTAAACATAGTTCACACTGTATAATTAATTGTATACTTACCAATCGTTAACATCGATGGTGTATATATATTGACATTAATAACTGTCACAGGATTTTAATTTTGAACTTCACGCCCAGTATGTGCTCATTATCGGTTCTCGTACTGAAGTGGTACTAAAGCGGTTATTCGTCAATAAATCTTTTAAGTGAAAATGATGTGATCCCACTATTTAGTTCAGTAATTCGCCACTGAAAAGTTCTAACGGGTGTTTCGACCGTCAAAATTAAGATCTCAGAGGGCACAACAACGTGGCCACTTATGCTTAGCGTTTTAAGAATATAGCGATAACACTTAAAGTCCACGGGAACAATAGGTGGTGATCTGTAACGCATACATGTATTTAGGGTGTTAAAGTCCACTTGTAAATTCCCATTAGAATGGATAGTTATTGTTTAGTGCATTATTTGTCACTAGCATGCTATAAATAATCTTGAGATTATTAGTTCTCTAGTTTCTCTATTTTTTTTATCTTAAAATGAAGTCACCGCACTCTTCGTTTTACTTGAATATATCAGTTCGTACTATAGCCGCGCGCAAAATATACTTTCTTTGAACTTGTCAACAAGATGTCGTTGTTTTCCACTCCTGCTTTAAACAACTATGTATCTAGCGCTACAACCTTTATAAAGAAATCGATAGAGACGAAAGTGTTTGATGATGGTGGGTCAAAGGGTGCCTTTATCGTAAGTGCCTACAGATGCTAGTATTATGTGTTAATGTATATATGTCGTTTGGTTACAATTTATAGGTCGTATATAAACATTAATTTTTCATCTAAGTCGTAATTTTGCGATTCTTGGTAACCCTCATTTCTGATGGTTACGTTTTTTATACGTGGATATTCATGAATATTTTTAAGCTGCAGGTCGTTGATCACAAATGTTATGAAAACCTCGTTTGCTATCGCGAAATCATTGGTAATGAGATGTCACAGCGTACCTTATAAAGTTGGAGAGAAATCGCTGTCCACTAGTGATTTGATGCACAAAAGCACCAGATTGATATTTTCGGAGCTGTGCTTATATGGTAGTAGAGCCACACCTCATAATAATTCTCTTCTAGTAAGCTTGTGTTTGCCTTTAATTTTCCTTCAAACGGACTAATTGAAAGCAGAAATCCTAGGTACGATCTTAGATTCAAAGTGTTATTCATTTGGTTCACTAAGCACCAAATATGTGAGGTATAATCCAAGATAATTTGTACCCGAAATAATCACGTAATGAGGATACCACTCCTATCTGTGGACGTAGATAGCAAATGTATTAGAAGTCCACTACTGCAGCACCTTGTAAGTGAGAATAAGAAGTGTGTGCACAGTGCATTTATGAGGGAAAATCAGTGTGTCATGCGAGCAGAGAAAAAAACGGTAACTGTGAATTAAGGTTCAATTCAAGCAATAATTATACAATCACTTATATTAAATGCACAAGTTATATGGAACTATGAAAGTGCGAATAATAACAAAAGTTACCAACAAAATAAGATCACGTTACCTGTCTCCACAGACATAACAGTATTTCAAATTCATTAGCATTTAAGATATTGCTTTGTTTCGGAAAGAACCCATGCGTCCAGTTCTTTCTCGTCAATCTCTAGCATTTGGGAAGAATTTGAGATGAGAAAATTTAAGCAAATAGTAGGGATCTCTTTGAAAATTAGAATGGTCATCTAGCTCTAAATCTTTAATCTCAATAAGTGGGTTTATGTCATTCGATATTATTTATCTGAACACCAACTGTTAGGCTCTATCTTGTATTAAGTCATCAGGGTTCACGTTAGAGAAATTTCAAAATAAAATGAAACAACCATTTTGCTTTTTTTTAGTATTTTGCCATCTAAATGATATACCAAGTCATGGTCAAACTTATTTGTGATGCGATGAATGTTACTTATTTTAACTTTTTTAGTTTTAAACTCTGAATTAAAAATCATTATGTTTCACCCTAGTCAATTTTTTGTCAGTGAAATAACTGTCGAATGACCAATACAATACTATTTTGGTATTAGTTATCTCTCATCCTTAGTTCTGGGGTTGGTATGCACGACAAACGTGTGTTTTCACTGAGTATTAGCTATTATTCATAAAAGACAAGGTTTGTCAGTAAGAGTGAACTCTTCATAAAAAATTAGGAAAATAATAAATTTATATGTGGAGTAAAGTCTTAAAATTTGAGGCAACACGGTAATGTTTTCTAATCTAGGGTAAAAACACTTGTTGTTAAACCTTTGGTAAATAAGAGATATTTGCAATCCTGCTAAAATGAATCTTTATTCAAGGATTTGAAGTAAGGTTACTTAAGACTAGTTATAAAATTATTAGGATTCTGAGTTATTTGAGTTGTACATGACTGTATTAGAACTGGTTCTATCGTTTCAGATTTTAATTTTACTTGCGTCAAGCAGAATAAAATAGTCTATAAACGAGAAGCCTTTACGAAATTGCTTCAACTAATTTGTTCGGTTACCTAAAGAGAGGTTGAGCATGCTCCATCCTATTGGTCCTTCGAATTGCATCTGAACCTCTTCCAAAATTTATTAATTTGCTCTCTCAAACCTCAATGATACGAAAGAGGTTTCTACCATATTGACTAACACTGTTTTTTATGAATTCCTATAATGTGGTTATCTTAGCATAGAAAGCAAAACAAAGATTTAATGTCCGAAAACAATATGTGAAGTGATCAAGTCCTCGTGATGATTATGCTGAAATAAATATTGGTATATTTAGTTGTTAAGATAAAAGATGCTAAAATGCATTTTTAAGCAACCTTCTGCTAATCGCATTATGAATTACCCTCACTCTTAGTGGTTAATCCACTTGACTCTTAGTAGTCGTATTTTCAGTTTATACTCCACCCCGCCTACTTTGGCTCATGGACAACTGATTAATATCACTAGTACTTATACACAAAAATGAGTTGATGAACTTATGTTTAGTAGATGAGTTAACATTAAGTCTGTTAAAGGTAAAAATTAGACTGTACAATTATAGGACAAATTAAGTGAATAATTTTCTTTTCTTCACCCTTTATATCAAGGGTATGAATGCACCGTTGATTGGACGTTATGGTATAACGATCAGTTCAGGTGGTACAATCAATCTTGGCCGTTTCAAAGATCCACGTGCAACACTTCGTGATGCTCGTGATAACAAAGTGGTTGTACCACCGGATTATGGTAATACGGCAAACAAGCCTATACCAGCCACAAGAGGTGGTGATGTATCCTCCGCATCATTATCGTATGACCAGTTAAAAAAACAGCTGCTTCAAAGTGGTAAATTATTTGAAGATCCGGAGTTCCCACCTAATGATAAAAGTTTATACTTCAGTCAAAGACCGCCAAAACAAATTGAATGGTTACGTCCGCATGTGAGTTGCAGCTTTTTATTTCTATAATCAGTTAAATTTGGTTATGTTGCATTCACTCATTTAAAGACTCGTGTCTATTCTTCTGTTCATTTACGTTCACTTATCCGCAAAACGGCTACATTCAGTATTCATCCACTAAATACTATTATGATTGACCCGTAACAAATAAATGGTAAAGTATATGCCATCAAAGAATTCAACTTGCCGATAAGTATCAGTATAAATAAAACCGCAATCGAAGATTTACTTCTAGTTTTTATTTAAACATTTTGTACAAAAAGCACTGCATAGTATTATTGAATCGTCTATACTGTTAGTTTATTCCATATTTTTGCTCGATATGCTTTGGTCAGTAATGAGATTTAAGCTCATTATTAATTCATAGAATAAACATATTTTTTCAGGTGACTAGAGTGGTACAAAACGAAAGCATTGTTAGACAAAGCTATCACATAAGTTACGATAGTGCTACCAATGAAATGTACTTAGTAAATATCTAAAAGTGGTAGAATAAGGATTAAATTTCAAAATCATTTGAAATTGTATTGGTTGACGTTGAGTTGTAATAATCATTACTAGCGTCTATCTTTAAATTCAATGCTGTTATACTGGATGTGTTTGTTATTACTTTGTTCTTACTTAAGAGTAACAAGCCTAGATATACATCTGGGGCATCGTTTTTCTAGATTTTAGCAGTTCTGTCAACTTCTATAAGTTTAAATCTATTTGAAGTTCATAATTTCTCAGAACATCTATTATCAGTTCCTTCTTAATACCAAATAGGAGTGTTAAAAGGAATAACATATTACTGTTTTACAATTGTAACTCCCTAATAACATTACTGATGGAGTTTTAGGCTAGGTTCCATCACCTAAGATCCTGGTCACAGCGGTAGAAAAATGTATTTTCATTAAAAGAGTCCATGAACGGAGATATGATATCACACAAGGCTTTGTTTACAAAATGTCAAAATATTTTAATTCATATACTGACAGGTATCATTTGTAAGAGAGGAAAAAATATTTGCTAAAGTTATCATAAGTTCTAACCTTGTCAATTCACCCCTGAGATTTGTGAAGTGACATCTGAATTTCGACTAGTTAAAGTTAATTTATAGTAATGATAATTGATCATTGAATCAAGAAAGTGAAACCGAAGTTGCATGTTTTAAGGCTTCATTCAAGATGTCATCAACTTGAAGGTCTATTAGTTCCATTTAAAAGCTACGAGAGATCATTTTAATGTAAAAAGTTGAAAAAAAACACTGAACGGTGGTCCATACGTTTTTAAATCTTCATAATGTTGCAGAAGTTCCTACTTGAGCACTGAAACACAACAGTGTTATCTTTAAACAGGTCCTAGTTGAATATTATGTGTGTCCAGAGTTTCGAAAAGAGGATAACGAAGTTTCTAAGTCGTATAAACGGCATAATGAGTTTGATTTCAACTCTCATTTTCTACCCTTTCCTATTATAAAGGACTATAATTTTCAGTTAATGAAGACTTAAGTTGTTGACCTGGATCATGTAGGTAGGTGCAGACTTCTTGGTTGGAGTCCGTGTGTTAGCTGGCAGTTGTAGAAAAGACGTGCATACGGTCTTTACGAAACTGATGATCCCTTTGATATCCGAATACATACCACCTCGGTTCGCAGCCTGAGGCACTAACTCTGCAATTTTTGCCGTGGCTGACCTCATTTAAGGCTGATATATGTACATAAATATTTCACTGAGTGGTGGCTACTGGTATATTTGTTTATTCCATGGTGCTAATCGAATTTCACCAAACAAGTACTTCCTGATCATGTAAAACTTGTTGACAAGTACTGAATAGCAGAAAAAACCTTGATCTAGAGTATCCTACTGACTGTGTCTTCGAAGTATTGCTCGTATATCCCCGGACCACTGAGTAAGTAATGTAGTTGTTAGGAAACGGGTATTAGATAAGGATGGAGAATAAATTGATGAAGTAGTGTAGCTTCATCAGTTCAGATGGCTGGGATATGTGTTACGTATGCCCAACCACAGACTGCCCAAACGTGCAATGTTTTATGGTGTAGGAGTAGGTTGGAAGAAAGCTAGGGGCGGCCAGACCAAAACATGGCACAAGTCCATGAACTCACTGACAAGTAGACTGAGTCATGTTGGTAGGTGTAGACTACCTGGTTGAGATCCGTGAGACGATAGCAACCAATGGTTAGAGATCTTGAATGACATATGGCTCAAAATCGTTTGCAATGGCGCAGGTGCATACATTCTTTATGTTCTGAATTCTTCATGTTCCTTCTTTTTCTCTTTCGAAATTTATTTCACTGGATTATACTCCTTGAATAACATCTTCAAAGCCTAATCTTTCCGATTATTGCTTGTACTTTTACTACCTCTACCACTATGGGATTTGAATCGATAATTGTATTTCTGTGCTAGTGTGATATAGCAACTCGAACTGATGTACATATGTACAAAGTTCTACGTTGTTACTGACTGACTGATAAAGCATAGTAAAGAAGGTATTGAGTTACTTGGACTTTTGTTCCTAATTGGAACTTGACGAATAAACTCCAATCAACAACAACAACAAAATAACATAATATTAATCACTATTCAGTAATTAATCAATACAAAAAATCAGTCAATGATTTATCTATTATTGATCATCTCTTTTCAACTTCATAGATTAATGATTTTTCATAGGATAGATCAATAAATTGATTATTTAAAATTATTATGTTACCCTGATTGAAAAATTTTCATCTTTACTTTTATGATTTAAATAATCACTTAGATAAGAGGGGTAGATTTTAAAATGATTATTATAAATGAAGGAAATATGGTATAGTTACATTCCATTCCCATACATCAATTGAGTGTTGCTACTACATCTAAGTAATAAGAATACTAATAGTAATAGTAATAGTAATAATAATGATAATAATCATAATTATAGTAGAATAAAATGAGAGGAACATTTCTATTGAATAGAACAGTTCTAGTTTTGGACAAGCCTCTGATTTGTCCAAGTTTATATATTCATGTTTATACATGTATAGTTTGTTTGTTGTAATGCAAGTTGTATTTAATGAATGTGCACAGCTTTCTAGAATAGATGGTAACTGAGAGAGAGAGATAGATAGATAGAGAGAACAATATAGGCGGAAATATTTAAGGTAAATTATTGATCTGTTTAGAATTTAAGTGATTTATTCCGGTTATTTTATGATAATATTAAGAGTATAGTGTAGGATCGAGCTCAAAATGATCAATGGAAATGTTGAGCAAGTTGTTAGTGAATCAAGAAACAATCTTTATAGATAAATAGCTTGTAAAAAAAATAAAACGAAACGTAATTAGATTTATTTGGTATTGTTTATTTGAATCTTCCCATTGATGTTTTGGACTTCAATTGATCAGTCTCTTATTGAAGTGAACGGTACTGAGTTCGAGTCTCAGAGTGTACATCAACTCTGAGATGCAGGTACATCCAGTTGACGAGTGCCAAATAGGACGAAACGCGAGTCAAACTGGATTTCATTGCTAGCCACTATCCATCTTTGCTGATAAAGCTTGTGACTTAACGCAATATCGAGGCAGTTCGTGCAGGATTCACATATGTCAATAAGAAACTGATCAATTGCAGTTCTAAATATTAATTGTAAAATTCAAGGGAACAATATCAAGTGAATTTAAACTTCACCCCATTGCACAATCAAGTGGCTATCAGGGCTCAGTAGATAAGTGGATCATGCAACGGTACTGCATTCTAGTCCCAGAGTGAACATCAACTCTGAGATGCAGGTACACCCAGATGACGAGTACCAAATACGACAAAACGCGCGTCAAACTGGATTCCATTGCTACTCACTATCCATCTCTGATCAAAACATAACTAGATTTTACATCTTTTAAGAATCTGTTAAACTTTACTACAGATTATGCTGTCTGTGAGAGAAAATGTCATAAATTATAAATTCGTCCTTATGGACGGACATAAATTATCCGTCTCCTTGAATCCTAATAACGATCGAAATAGATTTGTAAGAGTTCGCACAATATTCTTGGTTAGGATTAAGATTAAGGATTTAAGCTTAGGATTTTCATCATGAACTGACATTAGCTGTAATTTTGATGGAGTTTTGTTCTCTGAGCTGGATGATTTGGTTATGAAGCCTTTAACTGGTCTTCTAAATGATCCATCTGAACTACAAATCTTCTCCATCATCTCATCAACTGTAATAAAACAGTACTTTACAGTGTTTTACACAAGAATCTAATTAGTTTGTTTGTCAAATATATTACCATCAGGTTTGTGTTTAGGGTTAGGAATTAGGGTCAATTGCTTGTTGTAAACAATCTAAAAAGACAAGATCATGCATTTCAAGCGTTCACTAATATCATTTTCAATTTATATTTGCAAAGGGTGATTTCTCATTAACATTTTAAGCACTATACGAAGGTATGTTTTTTCTTACCGACGGATCACGTTCCCGATCCCAATCAACTTATTTCTATGATGTAATTGTCCCATAGATATTTCTAGCAAATTTGAAGAGAGTGAACAATAACTGGCTTAGAATACCTTTTTAGTTATAATCAGTTTGTAATAACATTATAATGATTCAAATAGCTTAAACTTAAACTAAACTCTCATACTTAACAGCATGAATTATTCTCAATGATGATATGAGAGAAAGTAATTTAAATCTGTCTAATTATTTTGATTATAGAAATGCTCTTCAACGCCATTCAGTTCAAAATAGGTGCCATACATTATAATGATCAGTTGTAATGAAACTTTGTTGGTAAGCTCACATTATACGTAAACATAAACAGATGAAGGATGTATTCATAGTATATTCAGTAGAAAGGACTAAAAAACAGTCAAATATATGAGATCAGCTGGATCTATTTGAAAGTTTTCTGATTTCTATCATGTGCAAACTATTTGTTAAATTCATGATCAGCCTCCAAATGCCCTGGTACGGCTGATAGTGCAGAGAGCCA